CCCGCGCTCTGCGGGCCCCGCGGCGGCCCCACGGCCCCCCTGCGCCTCTGGCGGCCGCGCTATTCGGGCGACCGCGACCTCGGCCGCGTCCGCCAGATACATTGCCCTGCACCGTCGCGCGCGGCGCCTCAGCCCCTCGGCTCCGGCGCGCAGGCGGCGGAACACAGCGGTGGCTCATCCCGGCCCTGCCTCCTCTCGACCCTGGGGTGGAGCTCCAACTGGTGGTCCTCGTGGGGCGCCGACTCCCGCGCGTGCCGACGCTGGGCCAGCCGCGCCCCCCCCTCCCCCCTCCTCAGCTGGGGCTCGCCGCGGGGCGGCGGTGCTCCCTGAGCCCAGGGCAGCGGCAGCTCGCCAGCCCCGGGTTTCATCGGCTGCGGCCGCAGGTCTTCGGGCCTCCGCTGGCAGCCCCGGGACCGGGCCGCCCCCGCGCTCCGCCCCGTGGCTTTGCGTCCGTTTTCCGCGCCAAGCTGGGCGCCGAGGCTCGGGGGGAGTGGCGCGCTTTCCCTCGCCCCTCGTCGGGCCGCGGGGCGCGCCGCGCTAGACACCTCGAGTCCTTCCTGGGCTGGTGCCCCACGAGTGGCATCGACGTCCTTCATCTTCTGGTGCAGGCACTAGGCGCGCCTCCCCCGCCTGCCCCAGGGGCGCGGCGGACGCGGGACTGGGGCGTGGCCATCCCTGGCCTGGCTTGGCGCAGGGTCGAACCAGCCCGGCCGTCCAGCTGGGTCATGGGCTCGGAAGTGCGATCGGCCGCGGTCTCTTTGCCCCGCGTGCATTTCCGCAGCTCGGGCTCGAGAGCGCGGCTCCCCCCCCGCTCTTTCGCGGGAGGCTGTTGCAGATAGCGGCCGCCGTGGGCCCGTGGTGATGCGCGTGCGTTTGCACTGCGCATTCCGCCCCGTGATGCCCTGGCCTGTCTTGCCAGCCGGCGCGCAGCTGAGCAGCGACTGCCGCGGCGCCTGGAGGCCCAGCGTCGACTGCGGTCTTCATGTCTGGCTAGCCTGCCCTGGCTGCCGCGTCTCTGGCTACTGGGTCTCCGACGCCCCGCTGGCCCTCGTGGGCCCCGCCCTGTGCGGCTACTGTTGCCGCTGGTGCTTGTGTCGCCGCTGCTGCGGGTGGGCTCCCCCGGGCACAACCCTTCGGGTGCGGTGCCTCCCGCCCACAGGCCGCCGCCCAGGAGCTCATTCCTTATGTCAGGCAGGGTGACGTCCTCGGCGCTGCCCCTCTCAGCGAGTTCGACTCCGCAGTCCAGAGCGGGGCAGAGATGAACTGCCTCCCAGGCTGAGCATGCGCCGTGGCCAATTTCTACAGTCGTTGCGCACGCTACGG